AAAATCATTACTTTGCAACCATCACAGAAAAGACTAAATAAGGCAAAAACCATCAATGGATGCAGCATGAATCAAAGGGGAATTTTTGATGAGGAACAAACATTTGCAAGGTCTTAAATGATCTGCCCACAGACCACTTATTAATTGAGACAGAGGAAAAACATATCAAAAAAATTGAACAAAACCTTGATGGCACAATCGAAATTCACACTGCCTATGACACAGAGGCGCATCATGTGCCTCATGCCCTCAGATGTGATGCCCTGGGAGAGACACATAACCACTTGCACAGCATTTGGCTGACGTTGCATAACCTCCATCTAATCAAAAGTTGAATACACACAAAATGAAGAAAATTCTGCATGTCACTCCCTCACCTAAAAACTTGCAATGTCTTCCCATTGTTCTAAGCATAAAATTCAAACTCCTTGAAACAGTTTGCAGGACACTTCATAACTGACAACTCAAACTCTCCAATGCCGCAGCACATAGTCCTTTTCCCTCTCAACTTTGTTGTATTTTTTGCTTAAGCCAATGTTTTTCTACCTTCCAGGAACCCACCCATTAGAGGGTTGTTGAGTCAATCTAGTAAAAGAAACAATGTATTTTCTAGTGCAAATACACTCTGCGTTTACAAAGTGTAGAAGTTAATCAGATTTTTAGTTCTACTAATACAATGTATGTCTATGCCTGAGAGGATCCTATGGAAGTACACAAGTAATCATAGTGTCAAAATTTTTCTAATCAATGGCATCATCTTTTACATATTAATCACCTAATGCTCAGAAAAATTTCCCAAATCTGTTTACATGTCTAATTCAAAAATTAAAAAGTGCCAGTAAATCTAAGTACTAGTCCCCCTAATCTACCTTTATCCACACTGGAACCATAAAAAGAACCCATGCAACCCTAAGACTCCAAGAGCTACCACAATGGTACCCTCCCAAGGCCCATACACCTTAAACATCTAACGCAACGTCATAAACTACTCATCCCACTCTCCATGCCCTGAGCCCTATCGCTGTCCCGTCACTACTTCCTAATTCGATTTTTAGGACTACACACCAGTGGAAGAACAGGGATGGACACACAAACAGGGACACACACACACGCACACACACAACTGATATAAGGAAACTTTTCATGCTGTCATTGCCCTACTAACAAAAGTAGGAAACAATCCGCATTAATTGACAGGGGGAAGGGAAACTTCCTACCCTGCTGAAAGAAAGGTGGAAGTAAAAGGCACAAGGAATCTCTTCTAGTTAGTAGAGAAAGTCAAAAATCAAAATTATCAGGCCCAGATTCCTGAGAGTTGTCATCTGCGTATATAATCATGTCGGAAATTTATCTAGAATCTGGGAATAGCAAAGGCCTATGCGGGTGTTCTTTCAGGAATGGCACTGGGCCGTTTTACAACTTTTTAGGGGCAGTTTAGAATCTTGTTGAATAGAGATAGAAATAATTCCTGACCAGTGGAAAAGACAGACTCATGAGATTATAGTTTATCATCCTGTTTTAAATAAACCAGTTTTCATGTAAGCCAGTAATCTATAAAATTGTCTATTTACCTAGCTTCTCAATTGTTTTTTGAACTGTTTTCTACATTTTGCTGGTTCCCTCTCTAAAAAGCTGAAGAAAATCTTCAACACATATTTACATAAGCAGTAAATAATTTTGCTTAATAGTTTTACCTTTATGAAAATTCTACTTTAACAAGTACCACTTTTAACATTGTTTCTAGAGATGATCATGGGTTATACATTCAAAATAAACCACCTTTGAAATTTTCAATCACCTACATTTAACTGGATTTTTTAAATATACAATATGTGTAGAAAGGGTTATAAATTGCTAAAGAAAACTACTAACTTGGAGTAAGAGTCACTATGTTCAAGTCCCACTAAAGAATAAGCTACAGTATATATTTCTCGATTATTACTATGAAATCGCAGGTCCCATTTACGGCTAAAGATGTAGAGAATCTCTTCTAGACATAGGAAGAAGATCAGAAAACAAAACAAAACTGAAAGACCAGTCAATAAAGCTGGGAGAGTTCAGAACAGTGTTTCTCCACTACTCTGAATATTACATCATCTATATAATATTTTAAAATGTCAGAGACTTGGGAGTACAACCCAGGCACTAGTATTTTTTAAAAATCTAATGTCTCTCCATAGCCACTTTTCCTGAGTGTTTTAGACTCTCTCCAGCTTTTCCTCTCTGCAATTAAATAGTAAGAGAAAATAATGGACACAATTATAACTGACAAACTTACAAAGAGTGCCATTACCACCTCTCCGTTAACAAAAAGGAAGATAGTTTACATAAAACTACTTTATATGTATATAGTAGTTTTATTTAACTACATTTCATTGTTGGGTTCAGAGTTTCTTGAAAAAAAAATGGACCCTACAGTTACTTAAAAGCTAATGTCAAATGAAGATCAAACTTATATGAAATCTCAAAAAAATGTAATATAAACCAATGGGAAAACAAATTTTGCTATATAAACTTCATTAAGCATAACTACCTACTCAATACGGGCACATTCCATTCATCGTGGACTATAAAAACCAAGAGAAGTATCAAAATGTGAACCTATGCTTCAACTTATAAACCAAACAAAAAGTTTTTTTTTAAAGAGGAGGCTTCAATACATTTGTATTTTTGAATTCAAACAAATAAAGAATTTTTTCTATAATCTTTCTTCTTGCTGCCTCCACTTTCTTACTTTCCATTCCAATCTTGTTTCCACTGCCACTTCTGTCTAAAGTTTCCAATGATCTTGCCATTAGATTTGACCATTACCATCCACCCAACTGCTGAAGTAAAAACCCTGGGGAATTATCCTTAATGCCTTCCTTTCCCTCCCCGCCCGTAGTCAGTGCAGCAGCGCAGCAGGCTTTTTCACCATCTCTTCGTTTGCCTTCCTTCCCTCAGGACGCCCCTACAATGCATGCCACTGCAGCCCGGGCAGGAAAGACAGAAATTATATTATGCTATATAGTGACTTTAAAATTTTCTTATGCCCTCCATCCAAGTCTCCAAATGCTTTCTTATCATAGCCTTCAAGGCCCTGCAGCACTTAGCTCCTACCTACTTTTCCAACCCCTTTCCTTGGGATCTCCTCTGCATTCTGGCCCTCATTCCAGTCAACTATCTGAAGCATCTGCAACATTGACTGCCTGGTGTGTTCTTTCCCTACCTCTTCACGAGACTGCTTATCCTTCAGATTCCAATTCACCTGACACTTCCTCAAAGAGCTCTTTATTGAGCACTACTTAAAGTAGTCCTCTCTTCGCCACCTATCACAGGACACTGCTTATCTTCTTCATAATGTTAATCACAGTCTGTAACAATGTAAAAGTGTCTGTCTAAGGGTGGGGGAGTGGAGTTGTCTTCTTTCTTCTACCACCAGGATATAAGCTCTATTCCAAGCAGAGATCTTGTTCTATATACCAGTTTCCTAGGGCCTAGAACAATACATGACATATAATGGGCACTCAGCAAGTAATTGTTTAATCAACAAATACTCAAGTGAAGGCAGGGTCTACACCTACAGCACTGGACTAAAAAAAAAGATATTACCTGAGTTCTATCCAGACAGGGCTCTTCCAGCAATTAATTAGCTGCGCGGCCTTGAGCACGCCACAAGACTGGAGTAAGAGGCTCTGGACAGTAAGAAAGTGGAGACAGCAAATATGAAGATTTTTTTTCCCTAAATTTCCTTGTCTAAATTTAAGAATCAAGACACATGAAAGCCTTTAACCTGAGTTTTTCTCATTTGTATGAGATTACGATGAATGTCACTTCCAGCTCAGAAATACTCGAGTTTATATAGGCCTCAATCTGCTTTCCACCCTGAACTTCCCATACCCATCCCTCACTGACATGTCTCCTACTCCCACCAACCAAATCAAGGGCTTCACCCTGCAACCTAATGTCACTCCGTGCACTTTCCTGCCTATACATTTGCTCATTCTGCCATCTCGTCACCAACTCCAACCACTAGAAACTCTATCTTTCAAAGCCTAGATAAATTGTTTAACCACTTCATAAAGTCTGGTCCAAACACCTGGCCCAATATTGGTATGATCATTGTGTTCTGTAAATTCTTCTATGCTTCAAATTCTTTTAAACGGTTTCCTAATCTGTAAAACGGACATCACAGTATCTACCATACCACGCTATTACTGGATAATTGAGAATACATAGTTTGATAATAAAGTGTTCCATAAATGTATTATTTGTCATCTACACACGTTTTTCTTTCTCCTTGAGGTCCAACAGAGTGACTTTTTTCATTTCTGAATCTCCAAAACTTTGAATCCATTGAATCCTCCCAATGCCTTGTTTTTATATCCGTAAAATAAAGGGAATGGACAAGACCAAGTATCATTTCCTCCAAAAATGACGTTCTCCTAACTATACTCTTACATAAATAGCCTAAAGCAAACACAGGTGAGCTTCCTTACGGAAGGAATTCGAGAACTCAAACTACTGTTGCAGATGGAAATGGGTGGAAGCACTTAAGTTAAAAACAACATTGATGATTACTTTGGTGATCCTTTCCAACGAAACTGCCTCTTGCCACAGTGATGGACCTTTTTTACTGTTTTTACGTTGGGCTACAGATATTTAAAGGAGCCTGTGCCCCATCAGAACGAAAAAAGAGAATGAGGCCGAAGAAATCAGCCGCGTTAAAGAGGAAAATATTTGTAAGCCACAAATGGACTACAGCTCAAACAAGAAGCTCAATGCGTTTAACCCAACCCTAACCCTAACCACGAGAAACGGGGCGATAACCTGTGGCGGGAGGGAAGAAAATGGGGCTGGCCAAAAACTCTAAGCAGCATGATAGGCAGGAGGAGACGTCTGCGGAAGCGGTGTAACCTCAGAGCTCGGCATTTTTTCCTACGCCGGCCCCCAGCCCGCAGACCCGCGGTTAAAGACCTGGGCCGAGACTCTTCAGCAACCCCCGTTTCCCGCTCGCGTACCTGCCGGGTCGAGCGCCATGTCGGCCACAGAAGAAGGCAGCCGCTTGGCCACTCCCGGGCAGGGGGCGGGGAGGGGAGGAGCCTGGCCAAGGCAGCACGTGCTGCCGCCCAGATCTTCCCGGAGAAGGAGGAGGAGTTCAGTGCCCTTCTCAAAGCGCAGCTGACTGCTTTCCCTTTTCCCTAGTTGCTACTTCCGCCGCCCATTGCGCCTGCGCCCTCCTGGCCCCGCCCTGCACTTGTGACGTGTGGAATGTACTTCGCAGTGGGAAATGGTTGGAAAGGGGGCGTGGCTGCTCGCGCATCTTGGGGGCGGAGCTGTCTCAAACCCGCGCTACCTCGCTTTAGGCGGAGCCCGTGTGGCCGCGGGCTGGCTTGGGTCTCTAGCGACGCGAGAAGAAGCTGTGGGCCTTTGGGATTGCGCCTCCCTTAGGGATTCGGTCTGAATCCAAGCCCCACCCTCCACACCCGCTTTGGGAGAACCAAACGAATCATCCTGTTCCTTTATTTGTTCTTCGCTAACGTTCATTCATTTATAAATATCTATTTCATGCCTGCCAGGTTCCAGCCATGGTTTTGAATACGACTGGAAAATAATAGAATAAAAATAAGGTCCCTTCATTCTCGAGGAGCATCGCGTTGGAAGGGGAGTCAGCTACAAGCAACACGCTGTTAAATGTGATAAAAGCCACACGCGCGAGATAGGCACTGCTCATTATACCATAAAAGTGGTATAATGTGTGCAGTGTCATTATTTCTTTCCCAAATCAGCAGCCTGTGGCTACTTTAGAGGTTAAAATTTAAAATTGGGCGCTAGGGGTACCTCTTAGCGAAATAATACCCTCGGGGCGGGCGTATCGTCCGATTTGGGTGATGTTATAAATCCAGACCCTGATAAAGCTGTAGCTTTTGTGAAGAAAATGAAGGTGCGAACCATTCTACTTTAGAACCAAATTACCCTCTTCTCAATAGAAAAAAAAACTTTTTGGTAACAATTATGCCCATTTCCACTCACAACCAGCCTTCAGAAATGCTTCCTTGTCACATCCACCTTTAGCTAGCTCGAGCCTCCAAAGGGTGGCGTGCAGCCGGGGACAGATGGGACAGATGTTAGAAAAACAAGGAGCAGCTGCTTCTTCCCTGCAAGGGATTTAGGGCTTTCAAAATGATCCCCTCCCCACCTACCTGCAGTCCCTCCTCCCCTGCTGCTGCTTCCGCCTGGTCAGTTGGCAGAAAAGCTGACGCAGTTGAGCAGGGCTGGGAAAGTGGGTCTCTGCTCAGCAGGTCTTCCGTTTAAGGGCCTATTTGGGCATAACGGTCCTTATTACAGCTGTAGGTTGAGGTGCCAAGGTGAAGAATTAATGTTTCATTCAGCCAGGCAGGAAATCGGATCCTTTTCCCTGTGTTTTATAAATGTGCTTAGAAATACATCAATTTCGTTCTGGTACCCCTTTTATTTTTCTAGAGGTGGAGGATTTAATTTAGAAAGTAAATCTCTTTGAGGAGGTGATGTGGGGTATGAAAACACACGTCACACGCACAGTGAAGTAATTACAAGAAATCTTCCTATACGCAAAAGAGCATCATAGTAAAGGGGAAACTTGGAGAGCTCTACTCACAGACCTAGGTACCAACACCTGAACCTGCATCACGACCTATTAGCTTTCTGACTTAAGTTCTGATGTTTCTCTGGACTTCAGTTTTTAATTTGCAAGGTTGTTGTGACACGTAAGTGTGATATCAAGTAACAGTGTTTTAGTAATTGAAGGGCCACTTCTCTAGTTTTTGCCACACAAAGTATCACTTGAACCATTATTATTTAATATTTTTTATTTAAATCAACTCACTTTTGAAAAAAACTTAAACAGGCACTATCCATTTCAGTCTTATCCTAAGTAATAATATCTGTAAAATAATGGGTTTTGTGTATCCCCCAAAAATGAATTGCCAACCACATCATACTATGAGAAGCACTAGCAAAAGCTGCACCTCAGTGCCTGGTATATAATAGTGTATCCCTCTCCTCTCTCATACTAAACTAGATCATTTGGGGGCAAAATCTTTACAGTCTAACTGGGAAACGTAAGTCATTTCTTAAAAAGTTAAATCATAGAAATTTAATTGGCAATTAAAAACAGAAGAGATTTCCTAATATATCACATTATTAATAGATATTTCTTTAGACAATAATTGCCTAAAAAGAAAAGAGAACACATAAAAAGAAAAGAGAACATCTTTTCCTGGAAATTAGCAACTGTGTATTATCCAACCATGATCCCTAGGGCTCAGACCGTATCTATCGCCTAAATAACCCACAGTAGCTTTTCACAAAAGATTAAATGCCAGGATACTTAGGAAAGACTTCAAAGACATGGTAGAAATTACAGTTGGCCTCGAAGGATGGGTAGCCTGGGCAGGCAGAGAAGAAGGCATGTTACACTATGAGAAAAATAAAAACAAAAGATTTGAGATGTTCCTGAAGGATAGGTGGGGCATGGAAAAGGGAGTAGGTAAGAAACGGAACCCTATGGGGGTCAAAAGCACAGGGCTGCATGGTAGGCACGTAGAGGGCAACGCTCAAAAACACGTTAATACATTTGAGGATTTGGAAAACTGGAGTAGATGAAAATGAGATTGAAATATGTTAAAGGGGATTCAATTTGGAAAAATATTAAAAGCCCCCATCCCTACCAGTAGATGGAGTTTGGAACTAATTCCTGGCTAGATTTACTATCCAAGGGGCCTGGCTGGCACTGTCTGCTTTCTGAGCTATGTGATTTAGCCCCCAGCTCCCTATGGCCTGTACCCTCTCTGATTTGAATGGGCTTAAGTTCAGGCAGACACATATTAGTGCTAATCTGCCATAACAAAGTACCATAGACTGGCTATCTTAAATAACATTCATCTCCTCTCAGCTGGAGGTTGGAAGTCCAAGATCATGGTGCCTGCAGGTTTGGTTTCTTCTGAGGTCCCTGTCCTTGGCTTGTGGATAGTCATCTTTTCTCTTTCTCTTCACAGGGTCTTCTCTCCACCTGTGTCTGTGTCCAAATTTCCTTTTTGACAAGGAGACAACCCATATTGGATTAGGGCCTCCCCTAATGACCTCATTTTAACTTAATTAACTCTTTAAAGACTCTGTCTCCCCATAGTCACATTTTCAGGTACTTCGCTTAGACCGTCAACATATGAATTTTCTGAGACATAATTCAGCCTATAACAACAGTCTAATTTTGTTTTACAAAAACTAGAAACCTTCCCTGAATCCCAAATCACTTGGCAACCTGCCTAAAATTAGTCTTTCCCCAGAGCAATATACTTTGTCCCTGTTTTCCTGGTGTTTGACTAGGGCCTGCTTCAATATGGATGAGGCCACCCAGTCACCTCAACCAGCTCCTGTCTGTCCCTCACCGCCCACATCCAATTGACTACAACATTTACTCAGTTCTTCCTTAATATATCTTTATTTCATCTATGAACCACACTTACAACATTCCATCCAAGATCTATCAGCAAAAGCCTCCTTTCTCCTTGTTCTTCCCCTCATTCTTTCTAATCCATTTCACCCATGACAACAAATACAATCACAAAATTTCTTATATAAAACCTTGCAGTGGTTCCCCATATAAATAAAATCCATACCCTTCCCCTTAACAAAGTTCACAAAACTTTTTATAAACTAGTCTCAGCTTGCTTCATCGCCCTTTCATAACCAGCCTTTTATACTCTGCAATTGCCACTATATGAACTTACTTGCAATTGTTTATTATGGAGACTTTTCTGTACAAAAATGGGTAAAATTCTGTGTTTTAAAATTGGAGTCATTGTAGAAAGAGTGTGTAGTGACATGAAAGGGACTTTGAAACTAAACAGCTAAATTAAAATTCCCCTCCTCTTCTTTCACTTTTTAACCTTTTTTTTTACACAGAAAATGGCAGAAATCTTTGTGCACCCAAATGAGTTTTTACATATTAGTTTTGCCTGCTTTTGAACTCTATATAAAAGTAGTGATACATATTTGACTTTTTTGGCTCAGTTTGATAGCTATGAGATTTATTCATGTGTCTGTGTAACTATGAGACTCATTCGTGTATCTACATATTTGCTCTCCTACTTCTAACTTACATTTGGTAAATCATTTCTCCTCCTCAGCCTAGTTTCATCAATGACACCATCCCTGCATGATTGACTAAGATAAACAAATATTGAGTGTGGTTTCTGGCAAATAGTAGGCTATTCATAAATTCTAGCTATTGTTAGTATGATAAACATCTTTTGCTTTGAGAAAACTGTCCTTTTGAACTATTATTGCACTATATTCAGGTTTGTTTGTTTTGTTTTGGGGTTTTGTTTTTTGTTTTTTGGGGTTTTTTGATGTGATAATTTAGAGCTACCCTCCCTTTGGGACTGAAATTTAGGTAACAATATGTTTAAATCAGGATTATGTGAAACACCCCTCAAATGAACAAAGGAGATTTAACAGTGTGCCCTATCACTTATCAGGTGAGAAAAAGAAGTGTGAAAAAATCACCTCTCACCTCTGCAGAAGCCTTTCTATATTTCATGTTTTGTTTTTACTGTGCAGTATTTTCTGGGTGGCCTCCTTTGAGACAGATCACAATTTTCTCTGGGGTCAGAGGCTTATTTCTTAAAAAATGAAATAATAATAGAGATAATGACAATACTATAACATGACTTTTATTAGAGTTCTGTTACCTTGGTCTTGTGCAGATGCTATGATACTTGGTAGAATTTCTCACAAGAGCTGAAAAACTTGACAAAAACATCCGCGGTTTTTGTTGTACACTGACTGAAATATTAATGACATTCTAGTTAGATGGTAAGCTGTACTGGAAATATCTCAAGGATCTTTTGCTTATTTAGAGGAAATAAACTCAAGTCTCTGAAAACTTTTAGTGCCCAATATCTCTGCACTATTAATCTGACATTGGGCAAACTTTCTGAATTTATTATCTACTCCTTCCCCAAACTGGAGAAGCTTCGGGTGTGCCATGCACTGTACTGAGTCCTGGGGAGACAAAGACAGATAAGATGAAGTCTCTATCCTTAAGGAACTCAGAATCAAGAGAGAGAGAGAGAGAGGGAAACATAGGAACAGATAATTACAGTCCAACATGATAGAAGATGATGTGGGAACCTAGAAGGAA